GAGGAGGAGGAAGAGGAGGAGAAGGAGGACAAGGAGAAGGACAAGGAGAAGAAGAGGAGGAAGAGGAGGAGGAAGAAGAAGAAGAAGAAGAAGAGGAAGAAGCCACATCAAGTGATTGACCTACACCATCTAGGCTTATGTAAGCACATGCTATGATGCTCACATGATGATGAAATTGTCTCACTTTGCAAGTCTCAGAACTTCTCCCATGGTTAAGCAACACAGGACTGTTCGTATAAACCACCTAGCACTTCCCCAGCACACAGATAGTGAGCTGCTCACTACTAATATTGTTAATCATTTATTATAAATATGTATCAATCAGTTGCTACAAACTATATAGAAGGCTAGGGGATGGGGCTTCAGGTTTTTACCATTTAGAATCTCCCAGCCTGGTAGGAGAGGTGCACAGAAAAATCAACAATTAGGATACAGTGTGGTCTTTCATTAATGATTATTTTTAAAAAACTACCACTAATCAATGACAACCATTTTTCCTAGTCATTGTGTACTATGTACTTTATATAAATCAAGTATATAACCTTTCTAGTCCAAATATATGATTTCAAATCCCAGCATTATCACCAAATAATTATGTGATCTTGGACATGTGAATTAACTTTTTTGCCAGTTAGTCATCTCATTCTGAAAAAGAACATAAGTTTGAAAAAATATGTACTATATCACCAGAGTGTCTTGCACATCATAGGTGCTTAATACAAGTCCATTGGCCAGAAAAGTCGAATCAGCCTATAAAGCAGTGACTGAAGGTATGTGGAAGGCTGGTACTGGGTGGCTGCTGTCTGTTGGACAGTGTGTTTTGGAGGTCGGAGGGCAGACAACAGTCTCACCTATGGGGTGTGGCAAGATTGATGCTCAGTGACTCTTCTGGTTGGAATCAATTCTGAGTCAGTGATTGTAGCTACAAAGACCAGAGGCTAGATGGAGCTGACAAGAACCAGGCAGAATGTTCCAAAGAAAACCTCCCAGACCAAGGAGGATGATAAGGAGAAGTGGATAGAGAGAAAGATGCGTGTTCCCAGGGAAGCTGGGTGCTTTGAGCTCTCTCAGGCATTTCCAGGCCTACCTCTCTCAACCCTACATCATGGTCAGGATGGCTTTTGCTGGCTCCGGACCAGGCCTTCAGGGGCTGACAGAGGACAAGACACATCACATTTCTCTTTGTCACAGTTTCCTTACCTCCAGTCAGGAGTGTAATCCTAGTCCTGCTCTAAAGTGCAGGATTGCTGAAAGAATCAAATGTAACAGAGTCTTGAGAAATGTAAAGTACTACAAAAATATGCATTATCATGACTGACATCATTACTACTGCTGCTGCTGCTATGATAACTACTAATGACAGCTCTTACGCATCTGTCAGGTATACCTTAAGGATTATCACTAATCCCTCCTAGACCCTATTAATTAAATGTGAAGAAACTGAGGCCAAAAGAGACAGGGCCATCACTAGTCCCTTTATTGCCTGCCTCTATGTGAACTGAGGAAAGATACCTTTTCTGGGGCCAGGGACGTAGCTCAGTGGCACGGCGCCCACCTCGTAAGTGGGCACTTACTTGAGTTTGATCACTGGTACAAAAAAAGGACAGCTTTTCTCTGGGGTAGAGGTGGTGTCCCACGGTGGGGCCATGGAGCACAGGCTGGTTCTTAGTTCCTGCCTATCTTTGAACAAGCAGTCTTTTGTTAGGCATACCTTCAACAACAGTTTGCAGAACTCTGTGCAAAGACATCAAGTAGATTGGTTCAATAAAAGGCCATACTAGGACTCAAACGTAGGCCCAGAACATTACATAAGACATAGGTGCCCCAGCAGGGCAGTCAGCTGCCTGAGCCAGGAGCTTCTATGCAGACCACAAACAGTGGCTGCTTCTCCTACACACTCAGGCCTTGCAGACTGCTGTGGGGATGAACAGGAACAAAGCAGACAGAACTCCACACCTCAGGGAGTGCATTACCTCTGTGACAGAAGCAAGCAAATCAGAACACATCAGCCCCAGAACTGAGTTAGTGCTCAGGAAGGAAATGAACTGCACAAACACACCTCTGTTTAAACGAATGAACATTCTTGTTGTGCAGCCTGATAAGTCTGTGGCTCAGCCTGCCTCGCTTCCTGTCACAGAGCACCTGGCTCTCAACTCAGGAAAGATAATCACTCTGAGAACCAGCTCTGCTCAGGAGACCTGACAACCAGCTTGCAGTCTAGGGTGAAACCTGTCTTTCAACGAGGCTTCACCTCCTCCGGTGTCAGACAAGGGGAAACCCAACCCATGAAGGAGAGGGTTTCCTGGGCATCTGTAGCTCTACATGACCCCAGGGAGATGAAGGAGCCCCAGAATTCCCAGCTCAGAGTACCTCCAGAACAAAGACCCAAAGTTTCCTGCTGGCACAACACAAGACACAGGGTGCTCAGGTTCCAGGTGCACGACAGCTATCATCTGTCAGTCCTGATACCAGCCTGTCCACTTGGATAGTCAGATGGACAAATCGCACAGCGCTGGAGTGTGCTTGGGGCTGCAGAGGGCAGGAAGGGGGATGGTCTCAGAGACATCAAAACAAATAGCACCTGGCCCCAAAGAAGAGGGCAAGGGAAAGTTGAGTGTCTCAGGCAGGATGAAGGAATGGCTGGCCCTTCCTTATCATTGAAGAGTTTAATGAGGCTTATTAAAAATCCATTTTGGGGTCCTATTGAAAAATGACACCACAAGTGTTTTCTTTCTTCATAAGAATTGCTTCCCAGGGATTACACACATGCGTGTGCATGCACACTCAGGGACTCTCCACAAACCTCACACCCCATCACATTCCACACAAATCCTGCACATCCTGTACTTTACACACACACATCTGTACATGTACATCAAAGATCACCGCCACCCCCCCACACACACTGTAAAAGAGAAAAACTAGGGCTTGTCCCAGGGGTCATTTGTGCACCCTTTGAAATTCCAGACTTTGAGGGAACCCAAGAGGTCCATCAGTGAGGAGTTGTTCTTCACAAAAACAAACAGCACAGTCTCTAATCCCTATCATTCTCCACTCCGTGCCTGAGGCAAGGCAGCTCAATAAAGGCAGAAGCTACCGGTTTGCTTTACAGTCCAGGATCATTAAGCTTTGGAGAAGCAGCAGCCTTCAGCAGGGTCACTGCACAAGAAGGGGGCTGTGTCCCCCAGCCCGTGGCAGATTCTCTCTGATATGCTAAATCCAGCCACTTGGAGGAGGCAGCCTTGGCCCCTAGCGGGTTTCCCTCTGGATCTCAACTTGCCCATGGCTGCCTTCACTCCTACGCAGAGAAAGGCACAGGTTTCTGAAACAATCAGCTAGACACAGGAAAAAAAAACCCTTGTGGGATTCTGCCTCGTCGTGGGCTATATCTAAATGCCTGTCTCCCCAGCATTACACTCACTGCTGAGGGATAAGATTAAAAAATGCCCACACACATGCTAAAACCATCAGGTTGAACGGTTTACTGTGCTTGGAAACAGAAGATTTGGAGTTAGCAGAATTGGAACTCAAGCCTAGCCCTGATCCTTAATTACAAGATGACCTTGGCCAGGTCTGAGCTATGGTTCCCCCTCTGTCAAATGGCAATAGCTACTTCTTTCCATCTTACAGAGTTGGGGGAAAGATCGTAAAAACCCCTCCAAACCACAAACTCCAAAGTAGATGTAAGAAATCCTTATGAGATAGTAACGAGGAGTAGAGGAATCTCATAAACTGGGCTGCGAGCTCCTTCAGGGCAGAACCTATGCTGTATTTAGTTTGTCATCCCCAGTGCCCTAGCACCCAGCCTAGCACCAAATATTCTGGGGAGAACAGTTTGAAAGGATGAATGCAGAGTGAGTAAATCCATGGGTGATGTTGCTTGCCTGAAGTCAAAGAGTAGGTAGGTCACTGTGGGCCCTGAGCCCATGTCACCCGTCCCCAGTTCAGCACTCTGTGTTCCTGATGCACCAGGCACTTGGGTTTATTAAAGGACAGTGAGCATATATCAGCCGCAGCATGGGCTTGTTTGTAATGGGGCCTACCCTGCCCAGAAGAAGACCTAATACAGGCCAGGCAACGTGTGGAATTGTCTACAAACTTGTTAAACGTTCCAACAAGACATGCATGGGAACAAACAGAAACCACGGTGTAAATAATACCCAAATGCCTCAACCTGGCTCATTTTGTTTCCTTTCTTGAACTGTGCAAAACAGAAAAGTCTGGGGCCGGTGAGTCTGGAGGAGGTCAGGTCATAGGGTTTAAAAGTGTGTCTTGTTTCAGGCTCACTTTCCGCATTACTTACCTACTGACCAAGTATCCCCGAGATCACTAGCCTTCTCTGATTCTCAGTTTTTCCATCTGCAAAACAAGAAGACAATCACAATCAATCCCTTGAGTCCTCTGGACTAAGATGCATCACCAGTTTTATACCTTATGTTGGTTACCAACTATTTATGATCCCGTGCAACCAAGGACATTGTTAATGGTCAGGGTTGCAGGGGAACTATTTAGAAAATGAAGTGTGATCATAAAAAATTAAGCACGATTATTAACAGTTATGTGTCAAGCATGGATGCCAACTGTACCCAACCCTCAGTACAGAAAATTCAACCTTCCAATCATTTTGGCATTTATTTTTCATAGTTGTCAACATACAAAGAAGCTAGTAAGAATAGTAAGAAGAAAAGAGCAAAGTTCAGTGCTATGACCTCAATATACTCACTTTCAACATTTTGGGGCATTTTCCATTTTTTTTTCTTTTAAACATCGAGTTTACCTTTTTTCAGAGCAGAGTACAGCTAGCTATAAAGATATATAAATTCAAAAGTACTCAGCAGATCATGTTTCTCCATCTCTTATTCTTAGCCTTAGTCCAGGACTGCAGCCCTTGTTAAGATTATTTTATTCTTCCCCCTCCCCCACCATTTTGAGTTTCGTTGATTTTATTTGTCAGTTTCCCCAATTACTTTTCAGGTCTGTCTGCAGGTCTCTGTCAGGCACAACTGAGTTCAGTGGAGCAACCTTAGCTCTTGGACTGGGATCCGTTGTCTCATCCAGTAAATAAGGAGCTAGGACCAGCCAATTAGAGATAGCCCCATTAATTTAAAAAGAAGAGGCTAAGGAAAAGAAAAGGGAACTCATTGATCTGAGACCCTACTGTGTGGTAGCTACTGAGATAATAGCATGTACAAGTATTATCTCATCATCCTCCTAACTTTCCTGGGAGATTTTACAGCTGAGAAAACCAGTTTGGCAAAGCTTGAAGATCCATCAAAGACCTGCTACAGTAATTTGGGTACCAGTTTTTGTTATATCCACGTGTTGTTTCTCCTATCTCAATTTTTCCTAATCTATTCATTTTTTTCTCAGCTTCATTTAAAAAATATTTTTGCAGCTCTTTATTTGTGTCTTTTCTCTGTAAGGCCTAGTGAAAGGCAACCCCATAATATTAGATAGATTTTATAATTGCTAAAGGAGTTTGCATTTGTGACCATTCTGCATAAAAATATCTATAAAGCCACAGGTCTGAGATGGCATATATAT